CTACTCACTGTGCTCTTGACTTTCTCCAAACACTGAACTCTGAACCTCTTTCCCCACTTGGCAGACTCTTTTTTTCTTTTTTTTTTTAAGATGTTATTTATTTATATGAGAAAGCAAGAGAGCACAAGCAGGGGTAGCAGTAGAGGGAGAAGGAGAAGCAGCCTCCCCACTGAGTAGGGAGCCCTGTGTGGGGCTCAATCCCAGGACCCTGAGATCATGACCTGAGCCAAAGGCAGACACTTAACCGACTGAGCCACCCGGGCACCCCTTGCAGACTCCTATTCACCCTTCAACAACACTCAACTCAAAGCTCACTCTGTGAACTCATCCTCAATTCTCTGACCCACTTTCCACCTCTTCACTAAGAAGGCAAAGAAGAATCAAACATGGGGTTAAAGAATTGACACAGAGCAGAAAGTAACACAGGGGGAGATATGAAGCTATAAAACAGGCTTCCCCCACAGAGGAGGACTTAGGACCTCTTGGAAGAGTTACCCTATTGCTGCTTAAAAAGTCACTTAAATAGGGATGTCTGGGTAGCTCAATGGCTGAGCATCTGCCTTTGGCTCAGGTTGTAATCCTGGGGTCCTGGGATCCAGTGCTACATCAGGCTCCCTCCAGGGAGCCTGTTTCTCCCTCTACCTATGTCTCTGCCTCTCTCTGTGTGTCTCTCATGAATGAATGAATGAATGAATAAATAAATAAAATTTTAAAAAAGAAAAGCAAAATCACCTAAATAAAAACACTGAACCCATTTGACCAGAGTCTAACAAAATGGAGTTCTGAAAGACCAAATATAAAGAAACACAAGTGCAGAATTCATAAGATAGATTAAAAAACAGAAAATACCCAGGGATTCAAGCAGGGCGCTCAGAGGGAGCCAACCATGTGATGAGGCTAAGGTCAAAAAGGCAAATGCCTGCACAGGTTTCATTATTAGAAATATTGTGTCTAGAGAGCCCTGCTCTACTCCTAGCTGGTCAAACCTTCCTGGAGTATTCTGAATGGTTCTGAACATTAACTTGTGCAGGCTGGAGAAGCCTGGGACATGACATAGGTGGAGATAAAACACAAAGCCAAGTCACAAGGGAAAACCGAAGGGATCTGGAATATTTACCCAGAGGTGGCAAAGACCTGGCTGGGTGGTCATGATTTCTGTCCTTGAGCCACTGACAAGTGTCCATGTGGATTGATCTGTGCAGCCCTCAAGATGTGACCAGGACCATAAGTATAAACACTGAGATTTCATCTCAACTTTGGGGAGAATTTTCTATTGATCATGGTTATCCCCAGATGGAATGAGCCATACTGAGAGGTAATAAAGACCCTTTATGAGGCAAATCTAGCAGAGGGAGAATGACACCTGCGGAGGATGATAAAGGGACAGGAACAGAGACCTATGGACATTTATTGTTTTATTTCTCCTTTTTTTTTTTTTTTAAAGAGAGGAAGACAGAGCAAGAGCAAGCAGGTGAGTGTGGGGGGGGCGGGGGGACAAGAGCAGAAGGAGAGAGAATCTTAAGCAGAGCCTGATATGGAGCTCAATCTTACAACCCTGCAATCATGACCTGAGTCCAAATCGAGAGTCAGATGCTTAACTGACTGAGCCCCCCAGGTGCCTCTTTCCTTTCTTGTAAGAGGACCCTGTGGGTTAGGTGGAGCTGAGTGTACACCCGGCTTCAGGGGTGGGATATTTCCAGGCCTGGTCAGTCAGAGCACTGCGTCTCGCTGCCCACAGGTGCAGCTTCAGGAGTGCTAGTGTGACCCAGGATGGGCAACCAGAGCCCGTGAAACTCAATTCTGCAAGAAGGGTGCTCTCACTTCCCATGGGACTTTGAAGCTGGTGGGATATAAGCTGGGAGCTGCAGGGGGTCATGTGGTTCGCACATGGAGACAGACTATGAGAGAGCCCTTCACCGCATGTCTAAAATATTTTAGAAAACAGAGAAAATTGGAACAGAGTTGCAGAGAGATGGAGTTCTTTTGTGCTCCTGGCACCCCCAGGCCTGGAGCCAGCCTCAGTTCTGGAGAGCTGGTAAGTCCCTTTCCTCCTTCAAGACTGCGGAGCTGGGTTTCTATTGTTGGTTACCATAGAAGCCCTGACAACTATGATGGCCTCTAAGGTCTCATCTAGTTCCTTTAGCTATGACGAGTCTTTGACACTTAAAGCAAGGGCCACTGGCATGCATTCTTCTACCAGCCCACAGGAATCCTAGGATGGCTTGTGGAATGTGAAGTGCTGCCTCCAGTCTTAAGAAGAGAATGCACTATGAAAGGGGAACTGGAGAATCATGAGGAGGTAAGTTATGAAGTCAAAGAGCATCCCGACCCAAGCCCACGAAGGACACCTGGCCTGGAAGCTACTCCCACGTCCTGCAGATGCATGGGGAGAGCATGACTTAGTGGTATGGTGAAGCAACACCCACCCGAGTGCTAGGACCCAGCTCAGGAACGGGGCGGGGGGCTCCATTCTTCAGGGTCACAGGTGAGCCACCAATTAGTGAGCACCTGCTGGATGCCAGGCCTGTGCTGGACACTTGGCCTACCTCCACTCTTCAGAGCAGCCTCCTGACGTAGACACTGTCACAGCCTCCATCTCCCAGATGCAAAATCTGAGGCTCTGAGACTTGCTCAGGTTCGTAAGGCAGTGAGGGGCAGCTCTGGGACAAACTGCAGAAGCCCAGCCATACTGCCTCCTGCTGGTGATGACTGTGGGCCAAAAGAGGGCAAGTCTGGGTTCTCTGGCAGGTTTGCAGGCTCGACCTCCTCATCTGTAGAATGGGGTGAGTGACAATCCCCTCCCCAGTCTCACCAGGGGCTGGCCTCGCTGTTGTTCTGAAGTCTGCGGGAGCTATTAGTACATAAGGAGTCCAGCCTCCGTGCCCAGATTATCTATAACTGATGTGACACAAAGGGATCGCATTGTGCTAAATCAACTAGCCAGGCCCGTCCCCAGCTCTCTCCTGGCCCACAGGGGCCAGGTCGCTTCCTTTGTTCTGCAGGCACAGGCCTGGTAACGAGGCAGCCAGAAGCTCAGCTGTCGACCTTTTTTCATTATTTTCTACCCTGTTAACCTCCATCACCAGTGACGCTCCTGTCAGACTAAATGAGAACTGAAAAGATTTACCTCACTTGTCCCAGGCCTCAGTCAGGAAAAAAGACCCTTCATTTCCTAACAGCCCTGATGACCCTTTCTCTGCGAGTCACTCCCATCCAGGAAAAAGATGTGACAACATCAGGCGGGGACTTGTGACTAGACCAGGTGATTGGAATCACCCCAGTATGGCTTTGCAAAGCGCTGTGGGGTTTTTATTCTTTATTGCACTGTACTTACCTTCATAATTATGTTTGCTTACACAAATATTAAACTTAGACGTTTCATAAACACGGCCCCAGGAGGAACCCAGTGTCTATTGGGTGGTGGGAGAGAATGAGTCTGTGATTACAGTTCTGCTGAAGAAGTCATCCTCAAAGTGGACAATCCAAATACTGACCACAGACAGATTATTACATTTCCAATCAACTTGTCCTCTTCCTCATGCTTCTAGCAATCCCAGGGCACCTAATCCTGGGATTGCTAGGATCCCAGGCACCTGGCAAGAACAAATGAGCTCAATAATTTTACTAGTAACACTCTGATGGACTGGTTGGTACAATGCTGGCCAGCTTTCCTGAACTCCCACTCTCTATGCCTTACTTGCGGTTAACGTCCCCATAGTCCTCCCTAAGGCCGTGTGGGTCTTTTTATCTCCATCTCACAAATGAAGAAACTGAGGCACAGAGTTAAAGTAATGACATCCAAAGACACACAGCTGATAAACAGTGGAACCAGAATTATGAACTCAGATATTTAAGAATTCTGGACCCAGAGACCACACCCTGAGCCACTCCCTCAATAATACCTCCCCCTCCTTCACACGCAGTTTCCTTTAACCCCCACACTGCCCTGGGAAGTAGGTGATCTTAACTCCTTTTGATAGACACAGAAGATGAGGCTCACAGAGGCTAGAGGACTAGCCCATTTTACAGAGAAGGAAACTGAGGTCCATAAAGGTAAGTTCTAGTCTACAAACAGTTCCACAGCATCTACTTTGCTAGGCACTGTGCAAGGGGTTGGGACACACAGACCTCAGGGTGCATACAAGTGACTGCTCCCTGCACTCCTGACTTCTGGGCATTTTTATGGTTAAAACCTTTCTGAAAACAACCAAGCACTTTGTCAAAAGCCTTAAAAATGATCAAGCTTTTGACCCAAAAATTCTTGTTGCAGAAACCAACTGTAAGATAATAGCAGTGAATGTGACAAAAGTATATATATACAAAAAAGCTCACCACAGTGTTATTTGGAAAAATAAAATAATGGAAATAACATGAGTGTTCAACAATAAAAGATTGATTAAATAAATTAGGATAAGCTATATCATGAAACACTATGGAATCATCAAAAAATGGTACAGAAATATATTTATTGACCTGGGAAAATTTTGCAATACAGTGTTATATAATTTATTAGGTGACATAAGCAGACAGAAAAATCATATATGTGGTCTCATCCATGTTGGGAACTGTATACTGGAAAATACATCAATATGAGAATTTACAGAAAATGTATTTGCCTATGTATATATAAAGAAATCCCTATGGCACCAAACTGATTATTACAGAGTGATAACATTCCCAGTGATTTTCATTTTTGTGTGTGTGCTCATGTCCATTTTTCCAAAGCTCCTACAATGTACATCTAGTACTTTCCAACCCTGCAGAGATTTTTATTTTTGTGAGGGTGGTGGCTAAAGTGGCTAAGACCACCAGCCATATCTAGGATTCAGACTCAGGGTCTGGGACACCACATCCAGCCCTCGGCCCCTTGCACCCGGCAACACACCTGCCCTCTTGATCTCATGTCCCCAAACTACATCTCACCCTGGCTGCCAGTGTGTCATGGTCAGCCTGGGGCAGAGATATCTGAGCACAGATATTGGGGTGGCCCGCTTGCCTACCTTTTTGAAGAGTCTGATGACATCCTCACTGATCTGTGAAAGGCGGACGATGACATTGTTCATGAAGATGTCGTTGAGGGTGGCATGATCTCGACTCTCTCGCCTGGTCTGATGCAGGACCAGATACCAACAGTTCACAGGTGAGAGGAGGTACTGGTCCTTTCTGTGGAAACCAAGGCAGCTCAGATTGGCCTCAATGGAACTGTCATCCATACAGTGTTCTGCATTGTCATCCACCATAGCTCTTTTGACCCTCAAGGGGCCCTTTCAAGTTCAGTTTCATTAGAACACAGTTACAGGTGGTGAAGAAATTCCCCCAAGGTCCCAGAGCAGTGTTGGGGCAAAATCCAGGTCTTCTGGCTCTAAGATCTATCCCATTCTCCTCTCCCACTGCATGTGGCATCTGCTATGTGCATCACTCCCTTCGGGCAGAAGCTGCCTTCCCTGGAGCTAAGAAATATTCAACCAATTGTGTTTGAAATACTCATATTAGTTCTAAAACTATGCAGTGGAAAAACAAAAAGTGAACTCTTCCTTTTCCCTTCCCTGCCCCCCGCCAAGCCCCTTTGTCCTCTCCCAGGGCCAGCCTCTGTCTCCTGACCTCTTGGAAACACATGCCTTTGTCTCTCAATGAAACTGGGGGCTTGGAGCGTTTCAGGTTCTGTATTTGGGAGGATGTTAACCCATCTTCCCAAATGGGATGCTTGGGTAAAGTACATACAAGACAAATCTCTCTCCTGTTACCACTGATAAATTCTTAGCATCCTCTTAGCTGGGTGTTACACTAAAACAGGGGTTCTCAAAGTGAGAACCAGAAGCAACATCAACCTCAGACCAACCACATCACCGGGGATCTTATTAGAAATTCAGATTCTTGAGCCCCACTCCAGACCTGCTGAATCAGAAACTCTAGAGGTGGTAATCTGAGTTTTAACATGATTTATGCTAAAGTCAGAGAACCACAGTTCTATACACCATAGTTTCCCAAGGCTTGAGAAATGGGATGTTTCTGAAAAATGAAATGAGGGAATATCCCTTTCTTGTCTACACTTTCCCAAAGGCCCCTCTGTTATCTTCAGTAAAGAGTATATACATCCTATTCTCCAGGAAGAAAGAGGGAAGCGTAATCAGAGACCAAAATCAAACCCGTAAACTCATGTGGCCACATGTGGATTGTGCTATGTTCTTGCCCTCTAACCCTGATTCTTTCCTTCCTCCACTTCCTAGGGTGGGAAGGAGATGTTGGATAGGCATGAAGAGGAGGACAGGACCTCCCGAGGGTGGTGGTCTCCAAGGTCCCCCAGCCCACTCCAAGGGCTGATCACAGATGCACTCAAGCTACCCACTGTCAGCGTTTCTGAGGAAGGGAATTTTGCTAACTCTCACTATGACCACCTCATCCTCCCACAGCCTAAGGGATGTGCTGAGGTTGCAGCCCTGACAGCCTCTGGGCATGGGCACCCATAACACCCCCATGCCCCACACCCCACCCCCAACTCCTGAGCTTGGGAAGGACAGGTAAGGAGGGGCCTCTTGACTTATAGGAATTTTCTTGCTGCTACCAAGTGAGCTGAAAAATCTATCTAGGCAGCAGGCATTGAGGAGAAGGGAATTTGGGTTACAGGATGGTTATGATAGAAAACACCTAAAGAAAATGGAAGGGATGGGCTGCCACAGAAAAAAAATGAACAAATTGCTTCTTCACTTATAGCCTAGAGAAAAGGCTAGAACATGAAAATTCAATGACCCAGCTCAAATCCCACAGCATTTACTCCATCAGGTCTCAGGTGGGCCGTGGGTGACGGTTACACAGATGCGCCTTGGAGGGGCGCCTTCTCAAGTGGCTGAGGCAGAAGAAAGGATCCCGGTGGAAGGTAATGAAGTGCTATAATAGAGATCACATGCAGAGTGTCAGTTCTGCTTGAGAGGTTGGAGGAGACACCGCTCTCCTCCTGTGCTCTCCACATCGCGGGCACACAGTCCCTTTGTGCCAGGTGCCCTTCCACCTAGGGCCTTCACGCATGCTGTTCCCTCCATCTGGAATCCATGAGCCCCAGCCCTTCTCTTTACTGCCTCCTCCTCTTCCTCTAGGCCTCACCTCATGGTACCTTTGCAGAGAGCACACCTGTGACCACACGCTTAGGCATCGGTTCTCAGACTGTGGAACCCGGGCCAGCAGCATGGGCATCAGTTGAGAACTTGTTGGAAATGCAAGTTCTCAGGGCCAGGCCATTTAGTAAGACACCCCATTTGTAAGCCCAGCATTAATGTTTGAACCAGCCCTCTGGGGGTTCTAGCACACTCAGGTAGAGAACATTTTTCTTAAAGGAATTTCCATTCCCACCCCTCACCGTCAAGTTACTTCAAGGACTGTTCTGTTCCTGGCACCATATTCAGCACCCAGTAATGTGCCTGACTCATAGTAGATACTATGGATATAGTATATGTATAGATACTATAATAGATACTCGTGAGAAAAGTACCCATTTGTTCTGGGCCTTGAAGAATAGATAGGACTTTTTCAAACAGGCAGAGGCGTGGGGGAGAGAGAAAATTGTAGACAAGACACAGGGCACCAGGGATAAAAGATAGATAAGTAGCTCAATAGAGCCAGAACTTCGAATATGTTAGGGGAAGCCTGGTAGGACATGAGGCTGGAGAGACAGATTAAGGGCTTAACTGTAGGTGAGCTAATGAGCTTGGAATTTATTCTCTAAACCACATGGGTTCTCTTCCTGGGCTGCACACTAGAATCACCTGAGGAGCTTTAAGAAAACACCAAGACTAAAAGAGAGAGAGAGAGAGAGAGAGAGAGAGAAAACATCAAGACTCAGGCCCAATCCAAGAACAATTAAATTAAAATCTCTAGGTGCAGAGCCTTAGTATTGGTATTCAAAAAAATATCTTCTATACGATTCTAATGTGCAGCCAGGGCTAAGAATGCCTGGCAGGCAGAGAAGAGTCATGAAAGTTACTTAAGCAGAGGTATGATCTAACCAATGTGAGTTTAGCTCACTGAGGGCAGATTGCAGGAGGGGTGGGTGGATGGATGGATGGGTGAGTGGGTCAACAGATGAGTAAGTGGACGGGTGAGTGGATGGATGGATGAGTGGAGGGATTAGTGGGTAGATGGATGGGTGGAGGAGTGGAGGAGTGAGTGGATGGATGGGTAGATGGGTGGGTAAGTAGGTGAATGAGTAGATGGGTGGATTGGTGGATGGATGAGTGGACTGACAGATGGATGAGTAGATGGGAGGATAGATGGGTGTGGGCATAGGCATGGGGCTGGAAGGGAAGAGGACCAGGCAGGACTTGTTCAGTCCAGGAGAAGAGAGGACCTGGGTGGGTGGCCAGAGAAGTCTGGTCCTGAGAGGTACCTCAACAGAAGGACAGATAATCTTGGAGACCTTCTGGAAATAGAAAGGAAGGAGGAGGAGGGAGGAGTAGATAGTGATTCTAAGATTTTCTGGGTGGATGTTGATGACACACACTGAGATAAGAACTGCAAGGGAGAAGCAAGTTCGGGCAGAAAACATTTTGCACATCCCATTTTTCACTGCTTCCTAGGTGCTGATAGGAATGGAAAGATTAAGGGAGAGATGAGATAATTGAGCTGTTACTTAAATTACTTCAGGGGCTTAGCTCAGTCTGAGATGCAAGAATTGAACAGCATCAGGGAATTAAATGTACAAAATTTATGGAAGTCACAGCCAGAAGGTGAATTTCAAGTGGGAGAGAAAGAAGACAAGTGATCTTGAAAGGGTCCAGAAGTGCTGGGATGACTTGGGGACCGTTAAATTAGGTCACCTGGTCAGAGAGACTCTGTAAGAGAAAGACAGAAAGGACAGCCCTTTCCTTAGCAGCAGCTGTGGGGAGGAGGCAATCTGAGCAGTCTCAGACTGAATATTGCAGGGAAGCAGGGGGCACAGAGGCAAGAGGGAGAAAGTTACCTGAAAGTGATGAAGACTCATCAATCTAGAGAGAGCGGCTGCTGGGAAGACCAGGGCCTTGAGTCCTCTCAGGCTTCACTCACTCTGTGTGTGTGTGTGTGTGTGTGTGTGTGTGTGTGTGTGTGTGTACACGCGCGCGCACACACCCAGGGCACAGCTAGTCACTGAGCATGCAGCAGGGACCACAGCAGGCAAGACCCTGCTCCCACAAGCCTTCTGTCCCCGTAAGGGGGACCCACACGGGAACAGAAGGTGATGACACAGTGTCCTGAATGCAGTGATGAGAAGGAGCTGTGGAGCAGAGGAGGGCCCCCTTGCCCACATTTGCTGGTGAGGTGGCGGATGGCTTCCCAGAGGAAGCACTTTCTAGACTGAGAAAGGCTACAATGGAGTTTGAAAGGGCAGAGCTTTCCAGATGGAGAAATATGGTGAACAAAGGCCCAGAGAGAGGCCGGAGAGAGCATGTGAGTAGAACATAGTCAAGGGAGGGCTCAAGCATGTTCTGGGGTAGAGGTGGGAATGACAAATGAGATTGGAACAACAGGAAGAAGCCACATTGCCAAGGACCTTTATAAGTCCCATTAGAGTTTGAGCTTTGTCCTCAAGTCAGTGGGGGAGCCATCCAAGAGTCTAGAGCAGAGGAGTAAAAGGGTAAAATTGCATTTGCAGACTCTTGCTTTGAATACTCTATGGAGGATGGGCTCAAGGGGGCCAGGAGAGAAGTCGAGGGATTCAAGAAATACCTAAATAGTGAACTGGGCCTGGAGACTGAGCAAACGGGGGTGGGGAGGGAGGAAGAGACGTCCACGACAATTCCCAAGTTTCCCTGTCTGGGCACTTGGGAGAGCAGAGATGGCATCTGCTAGGCTGAGGGGGAGCAGGACAGTGGTGAGGTAGGGAGGGAAGGAGAGGAGCTCTGTTTGAACATGACAAGTCTAGAGGGCTTATGGAACACCCAGATGGTGATATCTGAGCGGAGAAACAAATGGAGAAGCTGGTACCAAGCACCCGGATGGTATCTGAAACCATGGAATGATATGGAACTCTTTACAAACGTGCATGACCATGTGGCAGAAGAGGCCACTCCTTGGGAGGCCTGGCCAGGCTGTAGCTGGAGGGATGGTGCAAGGCCGGGCTCCTCCCCTCCTCCTTTGGTTACCTAGGATGGGATGACGGGCCAGCTCATCCTTCTCTACAGAGATGCTGCCCCACG